CAGATTTGATAAAACTCGTGATTTCGTATTCTTAATCGCTATAGCTGGAGTTTCTAGGAAATGGACTAGCGTAGGGAGCAGTTTATAGACCCTGCCCAAGGGACTGAGAGCACGTAGTCGCAGCTGCGGGCGCAGTGCACTACATAGTTAATCTAGCCGTTGTGTGCGCAAATGCCTCGACAGGTCGTCACGAGTGCAAGCGAATAGCAAATCTGCTTAAAGTACTGTAAGCAGGCCATCAGGAGTATAGGGTAAAGGGAAATCTCTTGAAAATACTGTACAAAAGCCTGGGAGCTTCTGGAGCGTCCTGTAGTGGCTGACAAGCCATCAAATAATTGCCGATAAAAAATGCGCTAAAGTGGTGGTCAACCCTTCTTACAGGCACGCGATGACCAGATAGAGCCAATACTGCACCACAGCAAAAAGCCCCGTGGTACTCATGGGACAATGCTGGCCATGTAACGTCCTAGAGAAACTGAACCATAGAACAATGCTTCACCAGCTTCAAGAGATTTACAGAGTGAATACGGCCGGCAATAATGAATGCGGCTGGAATTTTATTTCGGCGGCGCAGCGGAGACCTTGAACCCCATGAAGTATAACCTTGTTGAGAAATCAGATTGATATCTGCAACCCCTTGGAGAGGAGATATTGTTCCTGGCACAAACTTGGTCTTTTTTTCACATGCCCACTAATAGGTTTTTCTGACTTGTACTGTGTCTTGTCGTGTGCGAGATCCAGCAGAGCCTCTATATAGATCCTGGCGGCACGAGTTAGCTGCCTGCTTGCAAACGTCCCTAGCTCCTCTGCACAATGTACTTTATCTTCCCTCTCATCATCCAACACAGCTCCTCTTCAATCTTTGAAATATGCGTTCAATTTGCGAGCGTCGATTCTAGGCTCGCTGATCATGAGTGTAGTTTTAGGAATTCCACCAATCATGCTTTGTGACTCAACTCCTGTGTTTAGTGCTATTTTGAGGGACTGAGTGCAGCGATGCGCTACACGATACCAGCGTCAGGAGATGCTTTGGCAGCGCAAGTGCTGAGCAGACAGACAAGTGGGGACGTTGGACCCTGCATAGTTGCTCTCTTATATGCACGTCTTAGTCTGAACAGAACGGAACTAGTCCTCCAACGCAATCGACATTCAAGATTTTGAAGCGCTAGGGACCACCCCGTTTTTGAGGGCCCCGGAGCAGCAGAAATCTTCCACATTGTGCTGAATTCTAGACAGGTTTAGGGTCAACACGTTAGCATTCCACACAATGCCCCCTACAGAAATGATAGCTCTTCAGAAATAAGAATCTTCACCATTACAATCACCACTCAAACCGACAGCGACCGTTGGACCCCTACCTCTGAAACCCAAAACAGCAGGCTGATGGAGGCTGCGGGGCAGCTTCATCTTCTACTATTTTTCGCCGCTTAAAATAACTATTATTGCATTTTTTGTCCGTTCTTTTGGAATAAGTCCTCCCAAACCTGCAGTTTTCCAACGGGACGAGAACCCCAACAGTAGGTGAAGGTGGGGATACATATCCCGCAACAAATTGTAGTTAGTTAACGTCCCATCTGCGCGAGGTTTGTGAGCCAAAGTCTCCTAGTTTTGACTTCAAACCTTTTGGTACAGTTTTCACGAGGATCTAGAGGCCTCAATAACTGGTCACTTGACCAGCGTCTCGTCTGCGCAGTGCGTGAGCGAGCGACACAAAGCCGCCGTTTCCGCCCTAGCCCAAGACCCAATGGTTCTTCAGTTTTTCTCAACGCTTCGACTCTTTCTGTTTTGATTCCTAACGGTGGTAGCTTCACAGCACTTACAGCAGCGTGCGCACCCCTCCGAGGTGCCAAGTGCTCGCCCGCTTCCATACGCACCCCCATCACAAGGTGCGTCGCACGACGTCTTTAATTGCTCCACAGATGTCGCAGTTCACAGATGTTCTAGATCAGTCTTTGTGGTTCCCCCCCACACAATGTCTAAGTTTATTCCATGTTCCCTAATTCTAAAGTGTCGAGCAGCCGAGGTAGTGATGTGTCTTCTTGAGTAATTCTGTCTGCATCACGAATTCGCGAGTTGTAACCAGTGTGGAGCTATAACCTATGGGTGTGCACCTTACAAAAAATTTTCTAGTTATATATGTCCCGCTTTCAAATTGTAATGTGTAGTTTGTCATCACATCTCAGTACAACGGAAAAGCCAATAGCAGTCAGGGGCTGAGATCCGTTAAAGTGGATATTCATGGCGCTGCATTGGTGACGTTGTTCTTGCCCATGTGATTGTTGTTTTCATTATTAAATTTACTCCAAGCTGCTCTGGCTACCGTGGCAGTTTTCGATCCAGTCCACAAGGATTAATCAAGCGTATAGGGAGAGTTTGCCAATAACTGCTCCCCACCAGCACCAACACCCTGGTGAGACGACTTAAGCAGCTATTCATAAAAGGCCGTTTCGGCTAGCCAAGAAGAAAAAATGTTTAACGAGACAGTGGACGCGGCTGAGGCACAAGCGGCTAGTAAATGTATACCTATACAATCTAGCTTTCGCGGAAGTACTTCGTTCTATTCTTCAGAAGCTAAACGACCAAGTAACAGGTTGCTCCAAAGCCCCTGAAGTGGAGGTAGAAATGTTCGCGCATAAAGCGGGGGTCTCCTGTCGAAGCGAGGGAATCACTAGCTACACAGTAGGAAAAAGGAGCTAGCGGAAGGTACAATGCAAGATGGCGCATCAGACAGATGAAGGACGGTTTGCATTATTTCCTGGCACACGCTCGTAAACAGATATTAGAGGCTGAGAGACCCTTTCCTTGGACTTCCACTGCTTAAGCTGGTATGAAAGAACTAAGGGAAGTGAGTACAGCACAACGGGGCCAGTAAAATGGATTCTTGCACGAAAGAGCAGACCGAATGCACAAACAAAGCATTAGGAACCAGCAATTCCAACACCGAGAACACTGTCTCAAGGACATGGGCACCGTGCGTTTCGCGAGCAACGAAGTTTTCCAGGAAGCAACACATTTTCCTGTGAAGCAGATGTACATCTTATCCAGGAGTTTTCCATACCAATCAATACGCAGCTTCAGAAATTATCCACCGGAGGAGTCCTAGAGACTCAAAAACTCAAAGCCGGTCGTTCTCCCTGTCTACAATAGTATGGTTTTTAGAAGCGACCCTGCGTTGGGGTGGATTGTTATGCAAAACTCCTCCCTACAACAGAATCCGCGCATCCCTTGCGGTTATCCCTTCAGAGATGCGCACAGGACTTGCCTAGCGCCTGCGCACGAAGCACTGTGGCGGTCTTAACTCAAGGGCCTACGCTACGGGCAGCGGGAATACCGCCAATATTTTGTGGTAATACAGTTAGCTGTATGCTCTCGTAGGGAAGGCCGTTTGGACGTGGGCGGCTTTGCATACACGGAGGTAAAGCATGCCTGACATGAGCCACCGTCGAGGCAACCGTTAAGCTACTACGTGTAAGCTGTTCTAGAAGAACCCAAAAAAACGTTGGAATTCGATGCACTTTCGCCAAGCTGAGGCTCCGTGGGGATACCAAAGCCTCCAGCAGTAGGCATCAACACAGAAGAGCCGCGCATTCCCCTCAAGCCCCTTTGGCCGGATTCCTCGAGTTTGGAAACCATAAAGACCCTGAGGACAGGAGGGATGCAGCCGTACTCCTACTACAGTGGAAAAGTTCTTCCCCAAAAACTTTGGTATGGCTTGTGATAAAAGGCAGCTGGCGTTGTTGTAGTGGCCTGCTCCTTCCATCAGCTCCACTGCTTCGTCCAAAATTAAACTGGTCCTAAATATTCTATAAGTCTGGGCTGCCTACTTTGGCCCGAGGGCATGCGTAACGGCTGCAACTGAAGTATTGGAGGTGCATTTAAACAATGCAACTGCGAACTTCCTGCTTTAGAACTTCGCGTACACGCAACTCCACCTGCCAGCGGGAAACAGCGCGTAGTGAGCGTATCCTCCGCTAGAGAACTTGTGCTCGCACGCACGTATTACTGCTTGTGTAGCGACGCTGCTGGCACAAAATATGGTTATAAATTTGTATGCCTGCCGAAAGAGGGAACCCCACGAGACTAAAATATGGACCACCACAGGTAGGCTCAGCTAGCCAGTATCTCCATAACAGTGCTGCCTGCCTGTTCTTGGACAGTACACTTGCGTACAGCTTCAAATTCGCACTCCACGAAATGAAGGAGGAGCGTAACATAAACGCCCGTACGTAGAATGCGTTCTTGCAGTTGCGTTCAGACAGTTCAGGCCGTTGCCATTGCGTGGAAATATCCCTACAGGTAAGCTACGACGCACAGGCGAGCCGTATAAATCAATGTCGACAACTCAACCAGGCTTCACCATTGTACGGTTCAAAACAATGTTAAGTTGTGCAGGACTCAGCACATTCTACCTGCCGAGAAAGAAGCTGGGTCGCCACTCCAACCAAGCTTCTTGCTCCAAGAAAAAACGTGTGACACAGCGAAGACTGTGTAAAGCGTTTCATCATGGTAAGCTTCCGCACTGTGAAAGTGAAACGCTGCCGCGAAGTACCCCGCGAAACTGGTTGTGCAACGGTCACGACTCATCCAAATAAACAAAGTGACCGCGACGACCTCACAGGGACAACAGCTACCATGCTATTCCTCCCAACAACCTAAGCAATCCGAGGTCTCGACCGTAGTGGACTCGTGCTAGCACTGAGGGAATGCTGCTTCAGAGCGTGCCGTCGTAATTGCGACAAAATCGCCCTGCCAAGCCGCATTACCCATGAGGCAAACTACTAAGATTGCGTTTGCACATGCCAACGAGAAACAATTATCGTCCTTGAATGTTTGTTTACAGTGAGGCTAGGGATAAAAAAGAATCCAAATTGCCGTTAAGGCGGCTTTTCTTCATTTCTGCTTGGCGCTGCAGATCCTCCAATATCTCCCGGCTCAGCCTCTGCGACGTCTGTAAGTAGAAACAGCAACAGCCAGACGTACACATACGCAAGTATTACACAGTGCTAAAAGCAAGAACCTCATGATCTACATCATGACATATTTCGCCCGCACTACAAGCTCCCATTACCGCGGCAGCGATTCTTGTTGCTGCTGCTGCGCTGCAGAGATAGCCCCTTACCGTCAACGTGGTCTGCAGGGTGCGGCAGTCAGCAAGTACGTGTCCAAACTTCTGAAGACCGACGCAAGCGCCGGACGGTAGGAATGCAGCGACTAAAAAGCTGTCTCCACACGTGGCCTCGATCTCTGTTAGGTCCCATACGTATGTGTCTCCAATCTACGCGGGCAAAGAGCAAAAGCAAGAAACTAAAGACGACTAGAACACTCCAAGCTTGAAGATTCGCTACTGAAAGACGACTCTGGCAAGCTCCGAAGTTGGGACACACAACCCGCAAGGATATACAGCAGAATAGTTAACGCAGGCAAAATCATTTTTGCCCTAGGTCAGCTAGAAAAAGCTTCGGTGAAGAGCTCTGCAGAAAGGTGGCCGCCAATGCTGCAGCCGAAAGCCACCATCTTCATCAGGAAGTGTGCATCATGACACGCGAAGACCGCACCTGGGCCGCCGTGATGAGGATAGGGACTGTGTCTATTGGATAAGGCGCCCCTGCTGCAATTCTGCGCAAACAGAATGCACAGAGTGCCAAAAAGCACGAGATTTCCAAGAAGTTCGGCCCACGATCTAAAATGTTAACACTCAGGGAGGGCGTGGAAAGCAGACACGCAAGCCAACAGGAAGACAGGGCCGGTCGTAGACAACTAAGGCGCAGATAAAAGTTCACTTCTGACGAAGATAACTCTAGGCAACATCTGACAAACTGACGAGCTGGCCATTCACTTGACTACGCTGGGTTATGTCGTCAGGCTGACCGTTCATCACAGGAAACCTTGTACTCAGTGATGGCTAGCCCCTGGTCCTTCTCGTCTTCCTCTTCTACCATGACGTTCGGTAGCCTGCAAAGACAGAGGCATTGTTGCTGTTCACAAAAATATTTGGAAGTATACGCTGAATGTAAAAAGTAAAGAGCCTGAGCAGTTCCACGAACGCAGCTTCACAAGAGGACCTAGTGCAGGTTCTACTGCTGCTGCAACTGCAGCCCCTGCCTCACTTCAAAGCCTTCAGTGCTCCCCATATGGCCAAGCTAACTGCGTCCAGGAGACAACCTCCAGCCCTCAGGACCTGCGTGAGCAAACGTAAAACCATGGTACTGACTGAAATGCAATTGCTGACCAATGAGTGGGTTAATCCCTGGCGAAACCAAGCTCGGCCCGCAAGGCTCGCAAGCATTAATGCAAACCCTCACAATGACGTCTATTGAGATCCTCCACTGCAGGCGCCCGTTGGGATCCGTTAGGGGTTTGAGGTGTGGCAAGAGCAGCTGCTCGAGCATGGCTTGAAGCAAACTTGAAAGAGAGCTTCCATCTCCTCCCGTAACATCTGCCAGCTCCTGTTCAGCCGCGCCGCTACACCAGAAGACAAAAGAGGGGAACTAGCAACATAAGCAGAGCGAGGCTTCGCGTCTCTTTTACCTAAAATAATGGGCAATCTGCCTTTGCGGCTGAACACACGAAGTCTACTCACAAGAATGAAATGCGATCCTACCGTTGCACAAAAAGGATAAAGGAACGGGGCACTGAGATGCAACGGCATCACGGAGATACGGGTAAAGATAAACTCGCAGAGGGGTACACATGCGCCAGGGATTCGAGTTCTATCAGCTGTATCCTTACCATCCCACCGAAACAGAGTAAGGCTCCTGGTTGCCACCGCCACCTGGCAGTATCACGTCAGCCTGCACATCCAAACACAAGACATCTTAGCCACTGTGATCGAAACCCCCAACAAGGTGTTCTTTCAAGATAGTAAGAAGACTAAAGGCCACGCCTCAGGGGTGCCGCCACGAATCGTAGTACATGAGAATGCGGGACGCTGCACCCTGCACTGTCTACGCAGCACCGAAGTAGCGTCTTTTTTTGCTGAATTGTAACCGGATTGCTCCCTGAATGGGATTTACTCTGAGGCGGAAGACGTGATCAGCCTCAGAAACAGGCACGAGCATCGACAGAACACATTGAAGCCGAAGACAGGCAAAAGCGAAGAGACGCGCTTTCGCTGCAGTCGTTACCGAGGCCAGCAGCCCCTCATATAAAAGCGATAGCCAGAGCAGCCCACATTACTCGTTTTCCCCCTCTTCACCCCTCTACAATTCTTGCCTAAGCTGCGTCTCTGGTGAGCTCACATCTACGGTGGCAATGACGGTATTTTCCTCTGTCTGAATTGCTGCGCTGCTGCAGCTGAACGGCAGCAAATCGACAGCCAACACTCGCGGCCTCAGCTCAGCCCGACCCCTGCCATCCCCTCTAACCCCACAAGCCACTCCCTCTCTCACGAAGGCAGTCTCAGCATGGCTGATGGCGCCTTGAAAAGAGGAGAAAAACTGAGAGTAGAACCCCGTGGGACGGAAGTGGGGGCCCTCATTGGCCCCTGGTGGGCCCAAACCAGCCGGCCCTAGGGGCCCTTCCTCAACCTCCATCATAGTTTCGCTGCTCACGGGTGGGGGCACCAGCAGTGCAGGAGAGACAGGAATAGGACAAAATGAGACACCGCCGGGTCAAGCCCCCTTATGAAGGGCTGCCCACAGTCTTAGAGGCACCCACGGGAGGCCAAGGCCTCCTAAGGAAAAAAGTGAGCACAAAGCACTGCGACCTCAGGCGAGAAGACGACAAAGTGGCGCCAAAAGAATCTGGTGCAGAAACGCACAGGGAATCAAGCAAAGGTTACCTCTCCACGAACTCATGAAAGAAACGGCTGACGCGAATGAGCAAGATGGGAGGAGATCCCGCAACACTGCACAGGCCTCTCTGGGGCGCCTCAGTCCCTCCCCAGATTAGAGGGAAAGGACGCCCATATGCCTTTTGATACCTTAAGTGACGCCCCTTATGGCACACACGAACAAGGAAAAGAAACCGATAGCAAAGAGGGGGGCTCTTTTGTCTTCGCGGAGTTGCTAGGGCAGCAGCAGCAGTAGCAGCAGCAGCAGCAGTAGCAGGAGCAATCGGCAGCCCAGCAGCGTGCTATGATCCCCTGAACCGCTGCAGCAATCGGTTGATTGCGCTTCTGTGGTCTTTTTTTGTCTTATCTTCTGCTCAATATGGCCCAATTAAGTGTGCTGTTTTATGTTTGTTGAAGACCGTCAGGGCTTGGAGTTTGCATCCCTCTCTTCCTCTCGCTGATCTTGCGTGCCACTCCCGTTGAAACTCAGTAGTGCTGCTGTTGCTGCCGCATCTGCTCGCTTGCCTCTTCTCGTTCTCACCTCATTCATTCTTTTGGGAGGAGAACGACATCAGATATCGTGGGAGCGGCAGGTAGCAGGGTCTCCCTTGATGAACACCAGCGGCAGCGGCTGCGGCGGCAGCAGCAGCCGGTGCTGCTGCTGCATCGGTACTCGATCTTGTTTCTGTTGCTTTCTTTGTTAGCTACGGCTTGTCGGGCATATTGTCTTCTCTGGTTTTTCTTCCAGGAGCTTTGGGGCCATCTTTGGGGGCGTGCCTCCTCCTGTGGGCCCCTCTGTCCTCGGTGAGGCCCCAGTCTCCCCTGCAGTCATCCCTTTCCACTTTTTCTCTAGAATTCCAAAGCAGAACTTCTAGGGACGATACGGGCAGGTCCGAGTAGCCGTTTGGTTGATTGGCAGCGGCGGAAGAACAGCAGCAGCCACACCTGGCGGAGCCGGGTGGCAGCAGCTGTTTACACACACACGTCCAAAATTCGTTCTTACCCATAATATGACCCTCAGTTTGTGACAGGACACGGGCTTGATCCCCTAAGGCTTTCAGGACAGCACAATGGAGCAGCAGCAGCAGCAGCAGCTCCAGCAGCTCCAGCAGCTGCAGCAGCAACAGCAGCTGCAGCAGCAACAGCAGCAGCAGGATCCTCCGGGTCCTCTATTTCCTGCTGCAGCAAGTGGCATTCTGCAAACTCCTGGCGTCTCATTCAACACCACGCGCTCATCTCCAGGGGAGAACACAGGTTCTCTTCCTGTGACCTACCCAATAGACTACAAGAGCTGGGCTGCTGCAGCAACACAGCTGCAGCAAGGGCGGCTGCCCTCTCCACCGTCAGTTATGCACACACCGCAAGGCTCTCCACCTCGCGATGTGTGGGGTCCGCACAGCTTGTGCCCACTGTACTCTCCCACATTGGAGAGTGACTTTGCGGCGTGGCAGCAGCAGCCTGTCACCCCACAGGAGGGGCCACTGGAGCAGCAGCAGCAGCAGCTGCTGCTGCTCCAGCAGCAGCAGCTCTCTGGGGACTGTCCAAGCGGTGGGGGCCCTCCCGCTCGCCCGAGCGGTTTGTCCAGCGAGAGCGTGAACGCCAGCTTCGATAAAGCACTTAAAGATGTTTGCTTCAGGGTGCACAAGGATAGTTCAGGCAGCACTTCTTCAGTCTCGACCCCAGAGAAAGCGCCCCAAGCCAGTCTTGCCCTGGATAAGCTCATGCCCGCTGCGCACATATCGGTCAACGGCTGCTTGTGGATGGGGGAAGACACGCCATTTGCTGCAGCCGCCCCAACAGCCGCGGCGGACGGGGCCGGGGTCGACGCCAGCCAGCAACAGCAGCAGCAACAGCAACAGCAACAGCAGCAAATGCAGCAGCAACAGAACCAGCGCCCCTCCGGCAGGTCACGAACCCAAGGGCGGACTAAATACGGCCGTTCACACAACCGTGAGCAGCTCACCAGTCTAGTTATTTCTGTTTTTCCCCTCTGTTTTCTTTCGTGTTCTCTAATTCTATGTTTTCGTACAGCTGAACCCCAAAAAGGGGTCCAGGTGTAAGTGTACAGGGGTCGAAACGCTTTCGTGAGGAGCCGTTTCCTTTGCCTCGTTTCTTTTGCTGTTCACGTGGTGCCGCTTAGTCTGTGTTATTGACATCTGTCTTTTTGTTTTTCTGGGCCTGTAAGCCAGTTTCCATGCCCATCTATTGCATCAGCGCTGTGTGTGTGTGTCTGTCAATACGCCTGCTGTCGCGTCATGCTTCCAACAGTACCCTTGCATTTTTTCTGTGAATTTAGTTGCAGATAATTTCAAAAACGGGATCGTGGGATGCAGCTTTCTAGGGTCATGGCTGTCCCTGACACGGGTTTGGAGATTGGGGGTTCAGGTTCTAGGTATGAGCGCTGCGTGTTTCTTTTGCTCAGAGTCCGACCCTCTCGTTCGGAGCAGACCTTGTAGTGGGCTCACAGAAAACTGCAACAGGTCATCTTTCGCCCAGGCTCTCAACCAGGCGAAGCAGCTGCTGCAGGTGCCGCTGCAGCAGCAGCAGCAGCAGCTCGCGGATGCTGCGGGCGCCGCTCAGATGCACGACTGCCTCGCTCGCTTGCATGAGGCCGTGCTTCTTTTGCAGAGGGAAAATCAGCAGCTGGTGTCACGGGTCCAGCAGCTACAGCAACAGCAGCAGCAAATGCGCATGCAGGCGCTTCACCATCTGCAGGCATGTGCAAAGAATGGGGGTGCAGCTTCTCGTGCGCAGTCATTGAGTCCATTCGGAAAAGCTAGCGAGCTCAGCGCATCCGCAGAGAGATGCAGAAGCGGCGGTTTAACAGCCGCGCTCGGCAGGGTTCTAAGCGGCAGTGCCCTGCCTCTCCCAGAGGAGACCCCGGATGGGATCCGCAGTGCTCCCAATCCATCCACCCCTCTTCTTCGCGGTGGAGACATCTCTGTGGAAGGATTCCTTAGCACGTGAGTCCCATATAGAGATGCAGAAAGCTAAGTGCAAGAAAAAAAGGTGCAAGGCACAGCGGTCTTCATCTAAGTGTTGCGGTCTGAGGAAACAGGCAAGGCTTTTGTTTTTCCGATTACTTCGATTTAGCTGCTTTTACGGTGCTTGCTGTATTTGATTTGGGCTTCTGTGTATTGGGTAACTGGGATGTGTTTTTCTGTAGTGCTGTTATTTCCCATCCAGGGTTGCATTGTCAGTCTCGGATCTTCATGTGAGTGTATAATTCATTGGCGACGCGGTTGCTGGTCTGTTTTATCTCAGGTTCCCATTTGCTCCTTGTTCTCGCGAGTACAGTCACTCGGTTCTAAAGTTCTGCGCAGACCACAACTTAGTTGTTAGGCTCCTGGGGTCCCAGGGTCGCCATGTGGAGTTACTGGAAAAAGAGCACCGATGCCGCATTCAAACTTCAGCTCAGGCGGCTTCGTTCCCGGGATATCCCAACGGCCGATGTGTACTTTTCATGGGGGCCCTTCCATCGCTTTTGCGAGCGAGTGCAGATCTTTTTGCTGTCGCCGACACCAGCAGGCCGGGCCTCCGTTCCAATGTGGGAGGGTACAGGATGTGTCTCATTGTGCCTGGAGAGTACGTAGGGAGACTGCTGCGCACCAACTGCTCTGGGCTGCACGCGTTGCAAGAGGGAGGTGGCAAGTCCGTTCATATTGCTCTAGGGAATCTCTGTGTGTTATTGGGAGGAGGCTACTCGGAGCGCGTGCTTCTAATAGACGGGTCACTCGAGGGAGTTGCCCGGGTACTTGAGATGGCAGCAACGCAGCTGCAGGACTTCTTCCGCAGAAACCCCGGGCCGTCAGGAGGGCAGCCTTCTTCAGATGAGGTGCCCATGATCCAGAGGTACGAATTCCTTGATTATCCGAAGAGGATTGACTTGCAGTTATTGGATACGAGGCATCAAGCGCAGCCCTGACAATAGCAAGAGAAGCAGTACATAATGCGGCGGAAACAGTTGAAGTCACTTTTCAAAGGCCTAGGATGGCCTTCCTTATATCGGGGGGAGTTTTGTGGGATTACAGAACGCAACTGACTGAAGAGTGCGAGTACTTGGCGTTCTATCTGGTTGAACAAGAGAATTCGCCTCTTTTAGGTCAGTTCAGGCTGTTGTAGAACGGGGACATTCTTTGAGAAGCCCCCGATGGCCCCCCAACAGCCACTCTTTGGCTCAAGCCCAGCTAGCTGTCTGGCGTGCTGCCCATCTCGCCACTATGACGGCTCTAATCACCGCTATTTAGGGGCTTCTCTGTACATAAGTGACTCCCAACAATAATATGTTCGGAGACAGAACAGCAAGAGTGCGGCTACGTAGAATCCACAGCCGCAACAGCAACAGCTGCAGCAACAGCTGCAGCAACAGCAGCACGAGCAACAGCAGCAACAGCTGTGAATTTAATGGCCTGGCACTGTGGTTGGAAATCCTTCCGGTCGTTAATGTGACTCTGTTGGCCGTATGAAGCTACTCCGCCAGGCTGATCATCTGTGTCTCTGTCTCGAATTGGCAGGTGCTGCTGTTTGACGCTGTCTGTCTGCAGCCTCAGTAGCTGCTCATTCGTCTGCCGCTGTTGCAAGGCGGAAACGGTGCGCCGAATGAGGCATAAGGTTACACTGCGGTGGTGATACGCCCCAGTACACAGCAGCTGAGGTGGCTCTGAAGGCCTTTCATTTCCTTTCTGCATAGTTGAACACATAGCATCCACTAGGGAGATCGCAGAAGAGTGAAATATGACGGCCTTGCTTCGTAAGCCTGTAGCTTGTCTGTTGTGTGAGGATTCCCCATGGCTGGACGGAACAGACGTCGGGGGCCCACCGAAGAACAAGTAATATCGACCTTAACCGAAGTTTTGCTTCAGGTTTGTCATGAAAAGATGTTGCAACGACTAACGCGGGTACAGGGACCGCGGTGCTCGATAGTGTGCGCTCCTATCTTGTAGCGCCCACCAGACTGAAGTGGGTGGCAAGGCCGAGAGCTGATTATGCTCCCGCTGCTTCCTTTCTATTTATTGAAACTTCATAGCTTTGTAGAGTTGGTGAACGTACTGTTGATAGCGAAGCGTAAGGAATATCAGATGAGCGTGACGGAACACGTAGGCTGAGCTAGGGTTGAAGTATGGCAACTTTTTGCACGACATTTTGGTGCAGAGGCACACGTGCCACCTTGAGTAGGAACTCTCAATATACTGACTTAGGCCTGCTGATAGAACCGTCACCTTTATTACCTACGCCATGCCCAACTGCCCATCATGGGTTTTGCTTGCGCGCTGCTGTTCTTTTAGAGCTTAGCGCAACACGTAGCATCACGATGGGGCGCGCGCGTTGCCAGCCCGGAGCAACCTGGACCTCACAGAAACTGACTTTAGTTTGGATGGCCTGTGGGCTCGACAACAGTCATGGAGGCCTGGCTTTTTGCTGTGCAGCAATGGTTATTCATGAAGACACCACAAATTCACCGTGAGCAGAACTTTCTGTTATGTTCCCGAGCAGCCTAGCAAGGAACATAAACTCGAGAGACCTTCTCTTGCGGTGAGGAGCTGCGAGATAGTTGTGGGTCTTGTCAGGATTCTGGAATATTATTTCTTCACAATGAATTTCTTTCGCTAGATGTGCAAACCGCTTCACCCTCTTGGTGCACTTGCTGCAACCTGCGAATACGCTTTACCTCTAAACTTCTCCTAGCAACGCTGCTACCTGCCATCATGCTTCTGTAAAGGTGGTATGAATATGCAACAAAGGCTGTATGCGTGCAAAATGCATGTTTGTTAAATCTTCAGATGGGGCGATGTTTTCTCTGCTGAAGCCGCAGTAGCCCCACTACGTCGTTTGAGACCTATTTTCTTGCATGTTGCGAAGCTAAGGATCGCAAGAGGGTCTGAAGTGCGTCTCAACAACAATTTTTGCGATACGATTTCACGCATGCGCACCCACTTCTTTGTTATTTAAAGACATATGCATCCTTTAGCCAGTCTCCTTCAAGCCACAATGCAGAGCTTGTTGGCAACACCGGGGCCTGAAGTGAGTTTCAAGAACAATTATTGGATTTTACGCGTGCGAACCCATTTTCTAGTTATTTGAAGAGAGCTGCATCCTTTAGGCAGTCTTCTCGAAGCCGCTCTACAGAGCGTATTGGCAAATGTTTTGTTCACTAACCACTCAAGAATTGGCCCAAATGCAGACGAAAAGGTAAACTAAACATCAATCGTGAGCAAGGAAGTGGATTCCGCCGGGAAAAGCTTCCTGAAGAGATTCAAGGATCCCCCTATCGCTGGCAGGGGCCACGCCTTTTTTGTGAGGATTTCTGGGGCTCGCAGACGCTCTTGGCTAGCTTTCTCATTGTGGCAGCAGCTAGCACGAAGCAATCCTCATTCATATGAAGAGCTGGTAATTATAAGCGATATTCACAAGGAGGCCAGTATAACGCCGCAAACCTTTTAGCATGCATTGCGAAGAGTTTCTTTTTCAGACGACACTCCCGTACATACAAGACACACGTGTACAGTAGATGACAAATATTGTCTCACGGCAGTGTAGCTGCTGCACTGTGCTCTCTGCCGGATGGGCATACCTTGCACCTCAGTCTGAAGAGCGCTTTGCCCACATTGCCCCCAAAAGCCATGACCAACAAAACATCTATTCCCTCTGAGCTGCTTAGCACGAGGTGTTGCATGAGGCTTAAAAAGAACATTTTCCCCCCAAACCTGTATCTTTTGGTCTACAATCTCCGTAGGCTCACTTCCGTAAGGCTGCCAAACAATGGAGAAAATGAGCAATTGACGGATTTCAAAAGGCACTCGATGGAAAGTTCGCTTCAGTGAAAAATGAATAAAGCTCCAACGCGGAACCGCTTATGTAGCACTTCGTACGCAGTAATGAGAATCATAGTAGCACTGGAGTAGACTCTAGGCCCCTGAATTCCTGCAGCCCTCCCCCGCCACTGACTCTATGAACGGACAGTGCATTTGGCAAGGCTTGCGCAGTGCATCGCTCTACCAAACTTCTACGCTGTTGCTGCAGTCTAGCCTATTGCGTGTCTGCAGGCTCACAGCTTGACATGTAGAACCAAAACTAAGCTTACAGAGGTTACGTGCTGGGACGGCCAGCGTGAAAGGAAGTACTCATGCGACGTGGAGGAAACGGAGACCGAAAACCTGCATCTCCTCTCCTGTACCCCAACTAAGTACAATTACTATATATCAGTATCGCATGCCTCAGTCTTATTCATCTGATTGAGAGAGTGCATTTACTTATTTTCCTTGGTCTTAGGTTTCGTTTACTCGCCAACTCTGTTGCCCATCTGTTTCTGCTTCCATCGTCCACTCTCTGGACAAAGATGGCCTTCTGTGCTGCTTCCCACGCTGTTAAACTGTCACCCAAAAGAGCAAAGACGTCAGTCAAGTGAAGCAGCATATGCTGCAGCAACGAGTGCTGCAGCAGCGGTGGCAGATGCTACTGTCGCAGTTGCTGCCAACGCCTGGTGATGAGACACCGCTTCATACCCAACATTCAAAATCTCCTTCGGATCTTTCGAGAGATGGGCAGAGGCTTTCCCAAGCTGAGAGAAGAAGCTCCAAGCTGTTCATTATGCCCCATCAAGGAAGGTCCTACTTGGGGCTTCCTGCTTTCGCTTTTGCTGGTGCTTTCATGTTGTTGCAACAATTGCACCAAGAGACGACCCATGGCTTGAAGGGCCTCCTTGTTTTCCTGCGCGCCGGAGAGGCGCAGCAGTAACAATAAAAGAAGCAACTGAAAAAGTGACCTCTGCTGCTGGAGATGCTGCATGTAGCATTCTCGATGTAGGTACACCAAGTCAGGCGGCAGCACCCGCTTTAGCGTCAATTCACTGCACGCAGCCGTTGCTGCAGTAGCATTACTTGCATCAGGGTCAGTTGCTACTGTGCGCTGCTGCTGCTGCTTGGGGGCAGGTAGCTGCTGCCTTAACAATGATAAAATTTCCTTCTGCAGTGGTTCAAGCTCCCCATCGGTCATTTCCATGCTCACAAGGCTCTTGTAGGCTGCTTCAGCTGCTGCCGCGTCCACTGCACTAGCTGCGCGTCCCTCCGCCGCTGCAGCGGCGGTGGCAGCAGCAGGGCACCCGCCTTCCGACTGTTGTTGCAGCGCTGCTGCTTCTACTTCGAGTGCAACAGATAAGACAGAAGGCTGCGCCCCGATACAAGAGCTCACCTGCAAGTACTTAGGCTGTTGCTGCTGCTGTTGTTGTTTGTCCTTCTGCTGCTGATGCTGCTGCCGGCTGTTACAATCACAAAAATTGTCCGCAGGGTTCACCTCAACAAGCTGCAAGAGCGGGTTGGTAGACATTGCTACTGCTGCTGCCGCAAGCCCTCCCAAACTCAGTTCCTCACTTTGCTCAGCCTTGTTCTCAACGCTCATGTTGCAGTTGCTATTTTCGCCGGTACTGTTCTCGCTGCTGCTGCCGCTGTTGCTATTCCCTGCAGAGGCAGTTGCTGCCCGGAGAGCAGGGGCGACGGCAGCTACGATAGCATCAGCCAGGTGCTGCTGCTGCTGCTGTTTAAGGGCCACAGCAACGGCATCTCGCAGGTAATACTGCTGCTGCTGCTCGTCAAGACTAAGGCCAAGAGAACAACTGCATAAAAAGCAGCGCCGCAGCCTCTCGGCCTCTTGCAGGAGGACTCGCGAGGGACTGACTGCTGCTGCTGCCTCTGCTGCTGCTGCTGCTGCCGCGGAGCACTGACGCAATGCAAGCAACACACGCTCTGACTCCTCCACCGCTGCAGAATCCGCCGTCTGCGAACCCACCGCAGCAACAGCAGCAGCAGCTGCTTTCTCAGTGGGAATGGCTGCAGCGAGCTGCAGCAAAGCAGCAGTCCACTGCTGCGGCGTGGCAGCAGCAACAGCGCGCTTGCGCCTCATGCTTTCTTCGGGAAGTTCTGCTCCTCCTGCTGGAATCCCACTCCCACAGAATGTCCCTGGAAGGCTCCCAAGCGGTTCTGTTTTGCTGCAGCTGACGTCTGCTGCTGAAAAGCACCACTGCCACAGTCTCGTCTCGTGCTGCTGCAGTTGCTGCGCCACTTCTGTCGCCACCGACGCCAGGTTCTCTGCGTGCGTCTGCTGCTGCAGCTGCTCGTTGCTTGCTGCTGCTGCTGCTGCTGCTGCTGCCGGTCCAGGTACTGCGAGTCCTGAATCCCCCCGTGAGCTTTCACGCACTGCCTGCGAGGAAGCCGACGCTGTGGACCCGCTCTGTGAAGCAGCAGAGGCAGCAGCTGTGTCTGTCTGCATTGCATGCAGCGCCAGTTGAGCAGCAACAACAGGAGGCAGCCAGGAAGGAAAGCGAATCTGGCCCGACTGGGTGCTTTGAGTTCCCTCAAGTGGGCCCTCTTGAAAGGCCTGCAGGGCCCCCTGCGCCTCGTGCTGTCTCATTTCTGCCTTTCCCAGTGAGCTGAGCGCATGCACTGCAGCATTCATCTGCTGCTCCAGTGCTGAGGGCGTGTCTGCTGGTGCTGCAGGGGCAGCCTCAGCCTCAGCAGCTGCTGCTGCAGCGCCGTCTGCGTCGAAGGAGGAACGGCTTGCTGCTGCTATCCAGCTAGACACTCCCGGCCACGCGTGCTGTGCTGCTGCTGCTGCTGCGGAGGCTGTGCGGGAGGATGCCAAGGAGTGTCGTCCGCCTCCACTTTGCTGCTGCTGCTGCTGCAGGCGTCGTCGCATGTGCTTCTCCAAGTGCTGCAGTTTCGCAGCAGATGTGGAGAAGCGACGAGAGCAGCAGAAGCACATGAACGGCTTCCCTGCATGCATCTGTTGCGACAGCGACGGCGAGGGCGGGGCCAGCAGCAGCTGCGCGTATATGAGGCAGTTGCCGATCACTTGCTGCTGCTGCTGCTGCTGCTGCCGCTGCCGCAAACGGGCCACCAAAGAAATCAGCAACACTATTGCTAGGGGTGCGAGCTCAGAGACGCGCGCAGCGTACGTCGGGTGGCGAATGCAGTCGTAAGCAGCTGCTGAAGCTGCCTGCGAGTTTGGCTGCCGCCGGTCTGTGCTTAGCTGCGTCTCGCGCTGGAAATGGCGCCGCAGAGAGTCTGGCAGCAAAGAAACTGAGAGCTTGCTGAGCGGCGCTGAGGTGGAGGGGTCGAAGCTGAGCGCAAGTGGCTGCTGCGTCGTGCTGCTGCTTCTCCCGTCAGCTGCCGCTGCAGCAGCCGGCTGTTTGCTGCCAGTGCCAGACAAACCTGCTGCAGCAGCGCGGTGCTGCTGCAGCGACACAAACCGACACAGGGAGCTGGGAGGGGGCATCGACAACAGAGCCACAGGGTCCTCAGATTCGGACGCCGCCTCACAGAGGCTCCCCTCCCCTGGGCCACGGACGGGCCCCATGCCATCTAAAGAAGGCGCCACCATTTTTATACTGGCTAGGAAGTCAGCAAGAAAACAGAATTAGGGAAACACGGCACAAAGGGGCCCCCATGCGCCTCCCTACCCCGAGGCCGAGCCCGGCAGGAGACCCAAGGGAGCACTCAAGGATGCAGTTGCCCTTCGTTGCATTTTTTTTGTCTTCAGAAAGACAAGACGCAACATAATTCGGGCTAAAAAGACAATGCGCTGCAAAGAGATGCTGCATGCATCTTGGGGCTTGCTCTGTATGCGCATGCCCCGTGACTATGCTTCTACAATTTCTCTGCTCTGGACACTTTATTTGAATAAATTTTGTTGGGCTCTCATATCAGAGACCCTTCCAACTCTTTAACGCCGCGGTGGATATATGCATCCCCGTTTCTCTCGCCTTTTATCCGTGCTCACGGGCTCCCTGGTAACATTTTTAAGTTTTTTTAGCTCCATTTTTTTGTGTGTTCTGCTCATTTGGTAAAATGTCAGACCCTGCCACGAGAGCTGTGGTGGACAAGTTGCCGCTTTGCTCCATAAATGCTGGACCGAGGAGCCCGCAGTGGAACGATCGTCTCAAGGAGGAATATGTGGCGCTCATTAGTTACTTGACTCTCGCCAAAGAAAATGACAAGGAATGGTTTAAAATAGAAGCTAACAAGGAAGGCACAGAGTGAGACGCAGCACACAAATTACATTTGCGCCACTTACGCTGACACTGCATGCACTTCATTGCGACAACTGTTTCAAACCCTGCAGAACCAGTGAAAGATTCTAAGTGCATTCACTAGTGACTGATAGCTCCACACACCGAGTTTCCGGAGCTCATATACTCCATTACTAGCCGCTCCTTTTGTACTGAGCTGCTTTCGTCTGTGCCTTTGCTGGGCGGCAGCAGTGACTCATTGCCGTTTCGCTGCGGGTGAATTAGGTGGAGGGGCCGATGCTGGTGCATGTACGAGATGGCCAAGTACGAATTTGAACTAGCTTTTGATGTAAGACAGTAAGAACTGAGACGCACACTAACAAATACAAACACTGGTTTCTCTCAGCTTCCCGTGGCTGCACCGATGGAATCATTCTTGCTACAAGGCATCTAACGCAGTGCGGGCTCTCTGTACATATATATTTACACGTCTGTGTACTCCTGTATGCATTTGCTCGAAAACATGCGCGTTCGAGCGAATATTTGGGGATGCTTGCGTTCAGAGGCCATCACGTGAATACTTGAATGTTTGCGCTGATGTGTAAATAGGTCTCTACGTAGGCATGAAAATCTATACATACATATATATGTGTTCTCACGACTGAACACGGCTATGTGTGCAACCTAGTGTATGCTTTCGTGCTTTTGAGTACGCATAACATCATACAATGATGTCATAAGATGCGTATATGCGCATATACGAGTAACTATACGCATGCATGCTAATTAGTTTTCGCCTTTCATATCAGTTTCCGTTCCGCAACTATTCGCGTTTGAATTCCTGTTTGTACCTGCTGCTACGTCACCACTCTACAACGGCGTAGCCTTTCCGTAGGCTCTGTGAATGCGCACACAAGTGTAGACGTCTTCACACATGCGTCGGACTCTGTGCAGTTTTTTGCCCTCGAATATATACCTGCATGTTTGCGTATTCTTTGGCTCTTGCGTCAGCCAGATGCCGGGCAGGCTGGGCAGGCCCTTTGCTTTTGCTGTGCTCGATTTGTCCTTCTTTCTGCAGATCCCTCCTACGTATCCTCTGACGCCGATCGAGCTGCGGTTGCCGGAGCTTGACGGAAAGACAAGCAAGATGTACAGGTGCATCAACGTCTGCATGCATACTTCTGTCATGCTGTCTTTTGGCTGATTGCTGCCTGTTTATTTTTCCCCTCCAGGTTGTCTGCGCCGGTTTCTAGCCCTTGACGGCATGCTGCTTTCATATAAGCAGAAGCTTGTGTGGTTTTGCACGCAGAGGCGGGCGGATATGTTTGGACGCTCATTTTGCTCCTTTGTGGAACAAGAACGCCCCCAAGTTTGGCATAGCGCACGCGCTTGCTTTGGGAGTAAGTGCAGCTGTGGATGCTGTTCACTTTGTTTGCTTCGACTGCGCTGAGGCGTGTTCTTGTCGCTTGGCTGCTCGCACAATGACCGCCGCTAGCATTCACAGTAGGTACTGTGCATGTGTGCTGATTTGCGCTGCAGCTGGGGCCCTGGCTGGCTGCTGAGGTGCCTTATCTTGTGGACACAGGGGTTATCATCGCTTCGTAGATTAACTCCTTTGCCTATAATAACTGCTGGAGGAGGAGGTAATTGGCGCTTTAGATGCGTGTTCGTTCGTGAAAACCTTTTTGGTGACAATGACGGAGAGTCGGCTGTAAAAACTCTATTCTGTAACTTCAACAAATGGAGGAACTGCGCAAGCATTAAGTGTAAGGCTTGAAGGCGCTGTGTCTCTTCAGCCAAAGCGAAGAAGTAGACACTTAGCACTAAACTAAACAAAAAACTACGAATTATTCGCAAAGGGGGACCCTCTGTCGCGCTTTATGTCACCGTGTCCACAGGACTGTACACGATTCGGTCCGCTTCGCTTGCATAGCTGTTGTTCATCACCTGACAGGAATTAGGCGACTAGGGTAAAAGGCACAGTTTATGGCCAGCTCCCTGTGCATTTCTCTAATATCGAAACAGAGGCAGAGAGGAGCCACATACAAGAACAGTACAGGGTGCAAGGCCGTGCGACAGGAAACGGACAGAAAATACGAACAGCTAGAGGTAGCAGCAGCGAGTGTCTACTTCGCTGCAACCTCTATTGCGCAGAAAAGTCAAATGTCGTGCATTCGTCGTTGACATGCGCCAATTCTGTGCTTCTATCGGGCCACTAACGTTAGCAGAAGCCTTTCAGGTGCACTGAGCACATAAGAAGGCGACAGAGGCCGTACTAGTGCAATGGGATGGCCCACATCTGCCCACATCCGCTCTTTGTCATCCTGCGACCGGGCTATTTTGCTGGCGAAGGCGGTTGGTGTCCCACGTAACGCGTATTTAGGGGCAGCTTCGGGATGCGGAGTTCGCAGAGAGGTCTACTACTTGGCTGTGTAGTTCAAAGGAGAATCAGTCCACCTCATTGATTCAGTTATTTGTGAGAGAGACATAGCAGCCTAGCTATCGCTGATTAACGTTGTCCCCCTGAAAATGATGCGGTCGAAACTAGTCTTTCCAGGTAGGGGCTCAAGTAAAGAGTGTTCTAGCTCACTTCTAGGCTGGCGAGGCCAAAGAAAGCATCGTAAGCTGGGATGTTGACGCGTTGTGGTCCACCGTGTCAGTGATCTAATTGCGACAAGCGAGTGTTCCGGCAGCAGTGACAACGAGAAATTTGAGGGATTGCTAATGCATTAATCTACGTATCTTATCTTTGCACTGAGAAAAAGTGCGAATTTTGTTTAAGCTTCCATGGATTTCAACGACTCGCGCGCTTGAGGACACAGCGGGCACCGCGGCGTGCGCGATGTTACCTTTGTGTCTTGTCGATGCCATTCGTGTGAAATATTATGTGAGACAAGTTCAACAGCTTGCAAATCAAATAAAGTGTAAAGGCTCCCTCTTTTGACCCTACATCTCTTGTAAGGCACACTCGAGCACATTTGCCTTGCACGTGGCCCAGGAATCTTGATTAGGATTCTTGCTTGTCTCCCTCGGCTAAACAAAGCCCAATGAAATTCGTAACTTTTATACCTCAAAAATTATATTTCTCTACCTTTGACATAATGACCTTCCCAACAACCTGAGCAAGAAGGGCGCAGAGTTTGTTGTCCTGTGCCGGCCTGGCTGAGGTGTGCAGAGGCTCTTGCAATGACCTACCACATGCCCTTGCAGGAGTTTTTTTTGGCTTCTCTCTTGTCCTTATTTGTCGTTTGTTCTTGGCATATGGTCAAACTCCCACGTTTCAAGTCAAAGACAGAGGTGACCTTCCCCGTGAAGGCTAGCCAGAACGAGAGCAAGGGGAGATGCCCTGGGCCCACCTGGGCACGCTTCTAGCTGAAATGAGGGTTTATGGGGCTATCTAAATGTCAAACCAGCCAGGGTGCCCCCTACCCGACTGGGCGTCCTTGTGTGCAGCGCCCTCGGCGACCTCGAAGCTGCTGCTGCTCAGCGTCGCAGTGCTGCAGCGGGAGTGTCTCGACAGTTTGTTCTGCAACTCTGCGGCCAGGGCCACGGACTTTGCAGTCTCGTCTGAGGGGGAATTCACTGATTACGAGATCGAGCACCGCCTTTGGGCCATCCGCATGAGTGTGGGGTTGCCGGATATGCCGCCTGTGTCCTTCCGTGAGATCGCCACTGCCACCACACACTTGCGAGCTAAATTGCCCTGGCTGCCCTTGGTGGACGCTGAAGCAGCCTTGGTTGCATCTCCTGCGAGTGACACTGGCCAGCAGGGTCCAGTTTGGGGAGGAGAAAAGACTGGTGGGGCACTGCAGGCTTTTGCACGTCTCGCCCACGCAGATCTTCCCTGGAGCTTCATTCTTACTTCTGCGTCTCAACGGCTTCCGCACGTACTGCTGAAACTGCTGAAGCTAATGGGCCCACACAGCCTGCAGCGCCAGCTCTTCGAGAGAACCCCAGCCACAGCTCATGAGGGAGAGCAGCAGCGGCTGGCGCCTGCAGGCGAGCTCGTGCTCGCTGTGTTGAGGCTTTGCCTGCAGCAGCAAGCTGCTTCCAGCCTTTGCAAAAGAAACGGTGCAGAGGGGAGAGTCCAGGCAGGGGGTTCACCAGGGGCTTCCAAGTGTGAGCTGAGACACCAGCTCCCCCACAATCCTGTCCATCGTGGCAGCAGCTACAGTGACGCGTTTCCTGCAGACACCGTAGAGGCAAAGATATATTTGCAGCGAGTCACTGCGGAGCGCGAAGCTCTTGAAACTTTGCCATGTACGCACACCTCAATGCATCACCAACAGAATGCAAAGATAACTTTCTAGCCGAGAGTTCCGTTCGTGGGCTTTGAGCCATGTTCCTTCGTCTCCCCGCTTTTCGTGTCTCTACGTTGCTCCTTGCATTTCATTCATTGCAGGTCTGCTCTTTGCTGCTTTTGTTGTTTATTTGTTTTCGAGGCTGCCTATATGGCTGCCTGTGATTCTGGGTGCGCTTTAACTGCCTGCAGCCGCTACCTCGTCTTCTCCTGTCTCGTGTCTTCTCTTCCTGGAGCGGCTGCTGCAGCGCCCACAGCTTCAGCACCTGCATGCGTTCCAGGCTCCACAGGAGGCGGTCTTACGGGAAGTGTTTTACGGCTATCTCCTCGGCTGTTTCGCCCCCGCCACCGCATCTCCTACAGAAGCCTCCCCTGGAGGTCTCAGGCTGCAGCTTTCCGCAATATGCAGGGAGCTGATGGGCGCCGCGGGGGTGCCATCCCTCTGCCTAATGGACATCAGTGACTGCAGCCTTAGGGGGGCTGAGGAGAGGAATCTTTCAGGAAAGCGTGTCAGTATATCTAATCAAAAGACAAGCAACGAAACTTGCCCTCAGGCTCAAGTCCGGAAAGAGGCAGTGGCTCGAACTCACGCGACACAGGGGGAAATTCTAAGCCCCCAACACACAGACGGGGAGGCAAACGAACAGGGCGTCCTTCTGCTGCCCCCTGATGGCTGCGATGCTTCTGTTAGGGCGTTTTGCTGCTTTTTGCACCCAAAACTCAGGCCAAGCACTCCGTGGCTTAGCTCAAATTCTTGCAGTGAGAGGGAGGCTGGGGGGGATAGCTGGAACTCATCTGCAAAGCCATGGTGGCCTGCATACGCGTGGGGACTGAAGAAAGAAAAGCCCGGAGAACTAACTCCCAAGAGTCCCGATAACACGAGTACAATGCATTCCCCGCCCCAGGCTCAGAAGCACTTATGTAGAGGGTCTGAAGAACGAAGTATTGCTGAAGAGCTGAGAGCCTTGGACGACGAGCTGCGGCCTTCTATGAAGACAAACAAACGGAAAGGCCACCTGCTGCGGCTGCTGGCGAAGTGGCTAAGGACCCCTGCCTGGATTCATGGACTTGAGGGAGAAAACAGTCAAAGGGCAGGAACTAGAAGAGAAACGAGCTATAAAAACAAACACCAACTCTCACCACTCCTCCTCCCATATGGGTCCTCAGTTACTGCCTTTGGAGACTGGGCGTCAGACCTGGACCTTGTGCTGCTGCTGCCGTTTACCTGCTGCAGCAGCGAGAAACATGACGCCCACAGTGATGCAGCCTCGCCACGAGGGAGCGCAGCTGCAGCTTCTGCTGCAGCTGCTGCTGCAGCTGAGTTGCAGAGTCCAGGAGAGAGAGGTAGCCTTAACTTCTCGAGCTGTTACAGCTCTCCTGCTTTCCCCAAGAGATTCTGTGGTGATAAAGCCGAAGATGAGCTTGAGGGACAGAAGGGGATCTTGAAGCCTCTCTTTCATGCTCGTCAATCACATTCTCGGGCGGAATGCGCTCTAGTGCTGACGCGCCTGGAGGGTCTAATCTGCGGCGAAGCCCAGCTGCAGAATCTCTTCACAAGTGTCGAAGTTGTTGTCCCTCACAGAGCTCCTCCTGTATTGCGCGGAGTGTACAGACACCCCAGAACACCTCGAAAACGCCGCTCGAGGAGCTCCAGCCACCCTGTGACAGAAGCTGGAGAGAATCCTCTTACAGGCATCCTGAAGGTCCAGGACCCAGCATGCGCGCCCACAGGTCTCGCCAGAAAGAGGAATGGTACAGGGAAGAGGGGCTGCAGCTTGAAGGAAATTGCACCAAAAGAGGAATCTTGGGGTGCAGAGGAAATAAGTGCCAGCAGCACGTCCACAGTTTTATGTTCTGAACAAGCAGAAATTAACGAAGTTGATGGCCTGCCAGCCGAGCTGCCAGATCCAGGTTCACCCACAGAACGACACAACAGACTGGGCCCCTTAGAACGGCCCACTTATGCCACTCAGGGGCCTCCAGAAGAAGCCTGGAGCCCATGCACCAGCATCAAATTTGAAATAACTGTTGGATGCCCCTTGGGGCCCCTAAATACTCAGCTTTTGAAGGCGTACGGACAGTGCAGTCCCCTCCTGCCGCCCTTGGCCAGGCTTGTGAGACATTGGGCAGATTGCAGGGGTTTGACAGGTCGGGCTTCATAAACAAATGACTTTTTGTAAAAGTTGAGGACCAGCTAGCTAAGTAGTTAGCCACTATGCTGCTCAGATATCCCACAACATGCAGTTGTTGTCATGAACTATTCTTTGCAAATCGAAGAAGCGCCACAATTTTTGCGGGAACCTTGAAGGCTTGTTTGAATCGCCTTATCCATTTCCCAGGCCCTAGGAACAGGTCCATGCTCTACGAAAACCATTAAGTGCCTGGCCTTATTTCACTGCTGTCTTCGTTGGTGCCGCTGTGTCTCTCAGGAACCCGAGACGGCTGCCTCTCCAGTTATGCCTGGTCCCTCTTGGTGGTATTCTTTTGTCTTTCCACCACTCCCCCACTTCTGCCCCGCTTGCAGACCCCTACTACTTTGCCAGCTGCGGCAACACAGGACCAGATCTCACAAGTGCTGTCCCGTCAAAGTTCAGAGAGCCTCCAGGCTTCTCCCATTTGCCCCCAGTCCAACAGCGAAGGCATTTGCTGCACTCTGGGGGCCTCGCAGCCTAGCGTGATGCCTCTGGAGCTTGTTGAGGGCACCCATAACGTATGGTTCTTGAGCCCAGAGGCTCCAAACCCCATGGGCTCCAGGGTATTAGATTTGCTGCGGCCAATTTACAGGAAAGCCAGCGAGTTGCAGCTGCTGGAACGCCTGCAGCACTACATCCCAGGCCATATCCTAGTAATGCCTGAAAACGCTAAGGCCCTCTCCACCAACAAAAATGATGGCAGCGATTGCCTGCACCCAGGAAAGGATGACATCTCTCACATAGGCCCATGTAGAGGCCGAAAAGGGCAATCCGTGCCTGCCGTAGCTCACCTAGCTGACGGGGAGAGACCACTGGCAAATTTGGCTGACTTTGACTACCCTGAAGGACTCTCCCAACCGAAGTTTCTTCTCTCCCACGAGCAAACAAAGAATCAGCGGAACACCCCTCTGCGAAAGGAAGATTGGACTGCTGTTGCCTCCTTATTTCATGCTTTCTTTGCATTTTACGGCTACAACTTCAACTCCTTTTCTCTCCTAGTGTCACTGCAAGGATCAAGTCAGCGGTTTAAAGAGCCTGTCTACAGACATAGCTCGAAAGTTGACAGCTTACACACGCATGAGACTCAAACAGGCTGCCCCGCTGTCTCTAAATGCAGAGAGGAACTGTCTCAAGCCGGTAGCAGCGACGAAGGAAGCAAGAATTCAAAACTACAGAAACAGACGGCCAGGCACACACTGGAGTGTCAAGAGGCTATTATGATGGGGAAAGCAGCAGCGCAGAACCACGCTGCAGCACATAAAGACACATGGGGCTCCGTAGGACATAAGCACTCAACCTGTTTATTTGTAGAGGGCCAGGCCCTTTCAAGCCCCACAGAAGAAGTGCTTCAAGCCCTGAGCAGGCAGCGTGAAGGTGAGCAACACACTCATGCACGTCCCGTGCCACTTGTAGGCTTGTCACCAGCAGCAACAGTTGCTGTTTCTGCTGCAGCGGAGGTGAGTTGATGTAGCCCTTGCTGCTGCGCTAGACGCTGCTGGCAATTTCTGGCAAGGGCACCCGCACCAGCACTAGGAAACAAGAGCCAGTTCAGTGAAAGTGCCTGTTGCGTTCTCAGCCCCAGCAAGGCGGCAGAGTGCCTCTTTCGGCATTGAAATAGAGGATCCCATGGAGGCAGGGAGATGCCACTGGTACAGAAGATTCAAAGGCGAGTTGCGACGGGCTCAGCTACACGGCCCCGGCTGCAAAATAACCCTGAGTCTTGACTGATTCGCAGCAGGCACTAGACTGTGCAGGACACTCCAATACCTCATGCAGCGTGCTCTTTCGCAGCTGAGTCCCTGAAGCGTTTTCACGGGGTATGAAAGCCATTAGCTGCAAGGGTATCATGTAGCTTCTCGTAACGAGGGGAGAAAATACTGCGGCAGCCGATATGCATGTCTACAGGTTCGGAAACGTTTTATTACGAAGTGAGGAGAGCTGAGCGGCTACTTCGAGACGGGTAAGAAAACGTTTAAGGAGAAAAGCCAATAACTTAGATTTAGTTACACGCAAGTAAACAGCTTTGGGAAGAATGAAGAGCGGCCCCACAGAGCGCAGGGAACACACAGAAGCTAAAGACTGTTTGCATCGTTAGAGCTCCCTGCCTTTGCAGTGCGGCTGATGCAGGCGAGCTCCACTTAGCCATATCTTTGTCGGCGACTGAAGGCAGCTGCTGTTGCCGAGCTGAATTTGCTTCCAAAGCAGCAGCAACGCAACTCCTAAAGGGGTAAGAACGGCAGCTTTTAAGAGGGCTATGCACGCTTCCCTTATTGCCTGTGTCAGTGTTATCTCTCTCGCTGACGACCGCCCCTAATGTGACTGTGCCCAATCCTTCCCTCTCAGTCTTATCAACCTTTGAATATACGGGGGACGAGGAAAGAAGGACTGTCTTGAAAGCATTTCCTCACGCGGAGGGGCAGATGCATGCGCCTCGTTTGTCTAGCGCAAAGCCCCAGACTTCGCATACGCCGCTTCTTCCAGCCAGCAGGTCCTCGCTCTGTACACGCAACAGCAAGCAGCCGACGGAAGAGAGGAAAAACATGGAAAACATGAATTTCTTTCAGCCTCGGATAGAAGCAGCACTTAAACAAGGCAAATTGCTGCAAATTCCGCGATTCAAGAAGCACAAGTCAGGCCCCTTTCGCTTTCCACTCAGCCCCAAATCAAGCCAGATGAATTAAGCAAGCTACTCAGCGCACGGCAAACTTGCCAGATAGGGTAAGGCCAGTTAGCTACACAAATGGCTGGCGTGTTTCGTACCCCGAAAACCGCATTTATGACTTGCAGCTCCGCGCATTCGCTGTCTTCGGCTTGGGGTAGACGAAATATCCCAGAGAGTGAAGGGCCGCCAGCATTTTCTGCAGCAGCAGCAGCGGCGGGAAACCACGAAAGCCCGCATTAAGAACTGCTGCACAAGCTCTGTGCGGCCCCCGGGAAAGGAAACATGTGCAAATAAAAAGGAAACTTGCAGCAGACAGAAGTGAGCGCCTAAGTGTCTACTGACCGCTGCGCAAGTCACAAGTGCCGTGCAAGTGCAGAGCCCAGAGCCGCTTGCGCTTCACAGCCCTCACGCCGGCCGAGGCTGCTGCCTCCACCCCGTCTGTCTTAGTCTGGCGCTGCAGCAGCACATCGACAGCCCCGCAGCCGCCAACCAGCAAGAAGACGCGGCAGCGGGGGAAGGCCTGCTGCAAGTGGCTCCGCAGCGACGCCTTGCCCCCCTGCATTTGAACTCGCACGAGAGAACAGCCCGCCACTAGTGCTGCAGGGGTTGTGGCAGCAGAGGGAAGCGGGGGGGAACTGGCGCTGCTGCTGCACAGCGTAGTGGGCTCTGTTTTCTTCTTTTGTTTGCGAGCTGGTGCTTCGCTTTCTGAAGGCGCGGTGTCAGTACACCCTGCGTCGTCCACGGACTCGCGTTTCCTCTTGGATTTCTTGCCCGATCTGGACTTGGCTGCAGCAGCAGCAGCAGCTGCTGCTGCTGCTGGTGCTGCCGCCTCTGCTTCTGATTCCCCATCTGACTCGGCCTCTTGGGTGTCGTTCGCTGCCCTTATGATGCTGCAGGCGGTGTCTGTAAGCAAGAGGCACGCGAGACTGAAGGCAGCACCTTAAGGGCAACAGCACAAACTTCAAACTCAGCAGCAGCACGAGGTGCAGCAGCAGCAGGCGGGCTTGGCTTTGGTTTCGCAGCACCTCAAGGGCAACAGCACAAACTTTAAACTCAGCAGCAGCACGAGGTGCAGCAGCAGCAGGCGGACTTGCCTCTGGTTGCGTTGAGAGTTGCTCCCTTGACGAAGTTGGCGTACAGGCCGCTGCAGGCGAGCAAACATAGCAGCAAAAGCGCAGCCAGAGAAATAATAAAAACGAAAAAGAAATAAATTCAAAAATGGATCAGAACACAAATGCAGATTCAGGCAGCGCTCTGGCGGCCCAGCCCACAGAAACAGAAACTCAACGGAAATTCAGAAACCCAGAAGAAGCAGAGTGACAGAAACAGAAAAGAAACAAGAACAGATATAAAAGCAGAAAGATACTGTGCACACAGAGAATGGTAACAGTTAAAATAAACAATCAAAAAGAGAAGAAACAAACCTGGAACTCTGCGGTTTCCCGTCTTCATTGAACATAATGTGGTTGTTCTGGGAAGCCTTCTCAGAAGCGACTCCCCCAAGGCCGCCTTTGCGGCCCCGCCGGTTGTTCGCCTGGCTGAGGCCATCGTGGAGCTGCTGCAGCAAGTGCGACTCCATTGGAGCTGAACTTTGCTGCTCTTGCTACTGCTGCTTCTCCTGCTGCTGCCCTCCTTGCTGCTGCTGCTGCTGCTGCTGCTGCAGGCAGAATAAGCGGGAAAAAGAAAGCCCCTGTGGGCTCCCGACCTCCACTCCCAGGCGCTGCAGCAGGCCAAATGGCAGCAGGAGATCCTCAGGCCAAGAGAAGACAGGCCATGAAGCAAAAGCAACAAGTCGGGGGCTGGCTGGGGTTGCACACTCTTACTCTAGCTAGTCAGACTGCCCCGCGGGCCGTGCTGCTGCATCTGTTTTGGCTCTCTGGTTGCTGCAATTGAATTATAAATAGTTAATTTGCGCCAAGTGGAAAGAAGGCGCGTGCGCACGCAGCGGCTGCTGCTTCCCTCCACCTCCCCGTGAGTCAGACCTCTTCAAACTCAAATATCAGAGGTAAAACGCCTAAAAATCAAAAGTCAAAGCATATCGAGGAGTTTTCTTCTAAAGATTTACAGGTGAAGCGGAGTACGAGGCTTTGGGCCCAGCACATGCAACACAAGGCTCTGTGGGGCCCCACAGTAGCATATTTGCGGCTTTCTCTGAAGCCTAGAGGCCCTCTTCTAAGTCACTGCTCGCTTTAGATAATCAGAGGTAATTTTACATTCGAAAATAACTCGGGCGTAAGAGCATAATTTCGTGCATCCGAGAGCCTCAGTGCGCTGTCGACAGGATATAGATAATAAACGCGTCAGTGGCCAAAAGTTTAGATTTCGAAACCCAACGCTTAATATTTTAGGCACATTACTTAATCCGTATGAGGATATTTTCCATATCAGGCGCAGAAACGGGATCTCTACCGACGAGCATGATACTTGGCTGCTCCCTGAGCAATGCAAGTGCTGCTGGTTACTTCCACAAAAACAGCGTTGGAAGTATAAGCCTCACAGAGATTATTATCTATACAACTATGCTTGGCTGCTTCTTCAATGTTTTTGGATTTTATGCGTAGAGAATATCTAAGTGCGTGTGTTCGTTGCTTCCTTTTCGTCCTACGATGAACTGCGCTAGCACTTCACGCCACTCTAGCACGGAAACGCAGCATTTCTTCTACTTGGGAGATGTTGTGGCTGTCACCAGAGGCTTTATTGCCTTTGATGTGGCAAGAGTTGGAGACTTTTAGTGCCAAAATCTGGAGCTAAGTTCGCAAAATGCTTCTCTACGCTGACATGCGGGATCTATACATGAAACGGCACTCTAAGGGCAATGGCGGCAAGGTGAATTCCGGGCCAATGGCTTATTTTTTAAAGACAGATGAGTTTGCCTGTTGCCAGAAGGTGGAGTGTGCAAGGACAAAAACAGTTAAGGGCTCCATGCCTTCTGTAAATGCAAATTGAATAGCCGAGTGCAAGTTACTACACAGGATATGCAGACTGTTGGATGGGCCGTGCTTTATTGCTGTTTTCAGAAGCGTAGCCAACAAGGGGGAAGGGCACAGGACATATATATAATAGCAGGAGTCATTCAGGAATGGCTTTATGAGTTTGTGGACTTTTTTAATTTGGTTGTTGATTCATAGTCAATACAGACTGCAAGTACGGCGAAGCCTTCACTGCCTGCTTTACTGCGTAGTTGCGGAGTGCTCCCCATGTACAGTCTTCTTCACCTCGATTTTACGAGTTTCTCAACTTCATGAAACTCAAATCCACAGTATATTTTAGTGGGCGAATCGCGTGAAGCTTTTATCAGAAAGCTATTAAAACCGTCTTGAGGCAGAGTTGCCTTCCTGCCTGAAGGCAGTGTATTCTTAGGAGCTGCAAAGCAGTGGGGCTCTTCTTATTTAGTTGTCCTCACTGTTGCGGCAGCAAGAAACAACAGAGCTAAAAAGGAGCCGCTTTGGCGGAAGTGTCCCCGACACCACAGCAATGGCAGACAGCCACAGGCTCAAGCTACGTGAAGTGTAGAAGCATGAGAGTGAGTTCCGCTGCCTTAATGGCTGTTTTGTATCACCACTTGGACTTAGACTGTTAAGTTTCCAGGCTGTTAGGTTTCCACCTGTACACGATGAAGTATAGGACTCTGTTGATGAGCAAAACGTCAGACACACAAGAAACCTAACACGAGTAATCATGAGTGATCATGGAAGCAATCACCTGCACAACTGGTTTTCTCGGATGTAGTTCTACAAGATCTCTCAGTTCCATTTCTTGCGGCTGGTGCGGTATAGTAGAAGCCTTCATATGCTTGTGGGGGCGCACTGCACACACGCAGAGTCAGGTTCCCTTAGACCACGTGATTAGTGTGAGTTCCACTGCTACCTAAGGGGAATTTAAATTGAGTGCAAGCTATCAAACCACAGCTGAGACGTGCATAGTTCATTGGTGCCTTCTGCATAAGAATGCGAAGAAGATCACCGCCTTGAACCCTTCATGAAACTCAAAAGGAAACTGAACAGACGGGGGAAGCTCATGCGAGACTCCATGCAATGTCTTGAGAGTCCAAATAACTATGAGTCTCGAGCCAGCAGCTTACAAGCAGAAATAAACATCTATGCCCGGACATAGAGGCTGTGCCCTTGCGGACTAGAATATAGACAGCTACTGTAGATTCGGCAATCTGCATGGGTCTTGTAGTTCCCGCTGTGGGCATTCAAGGTTCTCCCAAAGGATATCGAAGTATGAAGGCAGGACTGGCTAAACTGACGAAGTGTACCAGAAGGAGGTAACTATGTGCCTGTGCAGACACATGTTAGTGCCCTCTTTACTGCATCTAGCAGATAGAGAAGGCCATGCAGGCCGATCAGCCTCCAGCTTCGCAACGCATGTGCAATGTTGCACCTTCTGCATTTTCTGTTCACACGAGATACGACGCAAAGCGGCAGCAATGGCAGAAGCAACGGCACCAACTGAAGTAATCCTTGCAACAACATCAACGGCGACAGCAAAAGTCGAATTTGAGCATACTGCTGTGGACAATGACTTAACAACAGCGCAGGAAGGCTGCATATCCTTCCAGTTGAATAGGCTGCGCAGCTCTGCCATTCTTCCCCCATTGATTTGTTTCGAAGTTTGTACAGCCTGTGCAGCAGGCAGCTTTTTGTCACTAAGGGGGAACCCAGGACTTGTAATAAAGTAGCACAAAGGAACTGAATTGCATAGGCACATTACCTCGTGACATTTCCAATATCTGTCCTAATTTTGTACACTGCGACATCTTTCTCGCCGTCGGTGAGGCGGAAGAATTAAACCAATTCTCAAAAAAGGCTCAAAGTGCATACAGATTTAGCACTTTCTGTTGCTAAGAACTCCTCTGGAGTTTCTTGGTGCTTTTCTGCTGATTTGAATTTGCCGTGGTCACTTCCTCCTCTCCACACACGTGGCACAAGTGCGCAGGCCGAGACCTACTGCATGCGGTGGCAGTTTGGCAAATGTGGCAGATTCATTGAAGATAAAACAATAAATAATGCTTTTTCTTTCTGAGGGGCGGAAAGATCGGGATATAATGGCGCAGGCCAGTGCAGACCAGTGGTTGACTCCACTCATCGAAGCCCCAAGCCAAGCCATTGGTCCGAATCCGACTTCTTCTGAAACATTCAGTTGACCAAATGTAGACTTCGTCATTGATTTTTTAGTTTTAATTTATTTTGAGTCGTAGGGAGCAGACGGAGTGCAGCGAGGCTCGCAGAACGGGCAGCAGCTGCTTCCTCTTCCCAGTTCGTAGCGAAAGCTGCAACGAAAGCACCACTGACTGCCGTTTTTGTGCTTTTCTTACTTTGAATCTTCGGTATTGAACGGAAAGGAATAGTATGTTTGGGTCCTACCATGGCTCTGGGTGAACTAGCGGCTGAGTCGGCGGCGCGGGTCTTGTCTTTCTTTCTTCAGCAGCTAAGTCCAAACGCATGCAAAAATAAGATATAATGGATTCACGCGGAGGCAGCCCTAATCGAACTTCGCCGTTTTCCTCCAGTAGGCCCAGCAGCTCCTCCCCGTCTTCCTTTTTGTCCAGTTCAAAACCAAGTGCTCGGACGCCCGGCAACAGAAATGCCAACTCCAGCCGATACAGCAAAAGTAGCATCCGCAGCAGCAGCAGCAGTAGCAGCAGCAGCAATAGCAGCAGCAGCAGTAGCAGCAGCAGCAGCAGCAGCAGCAGCAGTTCGTCCGGTTCTTTCTGTGAGTCACATCGCCAAGTGCCTTTCTCATTCTTAACACTTGCGTGTCTCACATGGCCTCTTTACTTTCGCTTTCACGTATTGCTGTTTCCCTTAGTGCTGCCACTGTCGCTTCTTCCAGTCTTGCTGCTGCTGCTGCTGCGGCTGCTGCTGCTGCTGCTGTTGCTGCTGCTGCTGCTGCTGCGAACTGTCTGATCACTGCCCCTACCTGCCGTTGACTTCGGGTTCCCACTGAGTTCCTGTTGCTTTCTTTCACGAAAATAATTAAATTTAGAACTAAGTTTGCATGAGAACCTTTTAATCCATAGAAAGCGAACTTAACAATTTTAAAGACTTGCTTCGAAAGTGGCAGCAGCTTCTGAGTTCCTTTTCCGTTTCTGTTGCTTCTTGCTGCTGCTGCCAGCAGCAAAAAGGCCGGGATTCTTTAGCGCATTTCCTTTTCAGAGAAGGGGATTAAGGGGTCTTTCTTGGCAATTTGCGTTTAATTTTGAATTAATTTTCGTTTAATTTCTTTGTCTGCTGCTGCTGCTGTTGCTGCTGCTGCTGCAGTTGCAAATGCTGCTGCTGCCCGCGCCGCCGGCCTCGAGGCCCCCGGGGGCCCCGACTCTGTCTACGGCCCCCACATTTCTGTCTTGTGTTTAAATGCTTATCTTGTCCCTCCAATTGTCTCTTGGAATCCTTACTTGTGGGCCCCCTTTTGGAGCTGCAAGAGGCCCTTCGAGAGGGCAGAACAGGTCTGCCAAATGAGCTGCAAGGGCCTCTCCATTTAAAGCATTTTAAGTCATTTGCTGCTGAGGAGCTTCTCCATTTAAATCATTTTAAGTCATTTGCTGCTGAAGAGCTTCTCCATTTAAAGCATTTTAAGTCATTTGCTGCCGAGGAGCTTCTCCATTTAAAGCATTTTAAGTTAGTTGCTGCTGCATGCAGTTAAGGGTCCTCTACATTTAAAGCAATTTAAGTCATTTGCTGCTGCATGCAGTAGAGGAGCTTCCACAGTTAAAGCATTATAAGTTAATTGCTGCTGCATGCAGTGGAGGAGCCTCTACATTTAAAGCATTATAAGTTAATTGCTGCTGCATGCAGTGGAGGGGCCTTAACTCAGTTGCTGCTGCATGCAATAAAAGGCCTCCACATTCAAAGCATTTTAAGTCAATTGCTGCTGCATGCAGTAAACCCTGCATGCTTAATGCATTTTAAGTTAGTGCTGCTGCATGCAGCGCAGCTGGCTCTGCCTATCTTGAGCATTTAAAATCATTTGCTGCTGCATGCAGTGCAGGGGCCCTATTTATCTTAAGCATTTTAAATCAGCTGCTGCTGCATGCATTATCAGCGCAGTCTTTTGCTTTCTTTTTGTCTGTCTTCACTTATGTCAAATTTTCGCCACCAGTTTGCCATTAGTGTGGCCACTTCATTCATTTTGCACTTTATTCCCCACAAATGACCATTCAAGTTTTCACATTTAATACATTTTCATATCCTCTAATTGAAACAGATTCAAACTTGCATTTTATTGCATTTTTTTTGTTTATAATCACTCTGCTGCAGCTGTGAGCCTGCTGCTGCTGCTGCATGCGTCTGCCGTTACATGCGTTTGCTTGTGCATGCGTCTGCTAGTGCATGCGCGTGTCCGTGCATGCGTGTGTGTTTGCATGCGTTTTGCATGCGTTTTGCATGCGTTTTGCATGCGTTTGCATGCGTTTGCATGCGTTTTGCATGCGTTTTGCGTGCGTTTTGCATGCGTTTTGCGTGCGTTTTGCCTGCAGATAGGGCGTCTGGCGGCGCAGTACGACGTGGTGTGTTTGCAAGAAGTTTGGGGCGCGAACCTGCGAGGATTGAACGCCATGGTGCTGCCAACTCACAGCATTTTGCCGGAGACGCAGTCGAGGGGTTTGGGGGTGGTGAGCGAGGTGGTGGACCCCGTGTGTCTGTACACCCGAAAGACGGGCGGGCTCTGGTTCGCCTGGCGAGTCGCCAAGTGCCGCTTTTTGGGAATGGAGCGGCAGCTCTTTGGCGCAGCAGCTCGAGTTCCTTTTTCAAATCAAAATGTGACATCTTTGGACTTGGATGTGAGTTCAACTTTTCCCGGAAAGCGCCTTGTGCTTCTCGGCACGCACTTCAGCGTGCTGGGCCGCCGGCCCCGCAGCGAGAACCTCCGCCAGCTAGCCAGCTTCGCCAAGCAGCTGGCCTGGAAGCAGTACCTGCACTGGCTAGCCAGGCAGCTAGCCGGCACCGCCGGCAGCAGCAGCAGCAGCAGCAGCAGCAGCAGCAGCAGCGCGGCGCCCTCCTTCGTTGCGGACACTGCCGTGCTGCTGCTCGGCGACTTCAACATGGACCCCGCCCGCTGCCCCCGCGACTACAGAAAGCTCTGCACTTTGGGCGGCTGCGCACTTCTGCGGGATTTGTTTGCTGCTGAACACAACCCCCACTTTGCTGCGCAGTTCACGCGAATGTCGCAGGAAGGCCGGCAGCAAATAAAAGGAAAAAACGGAAAAGTCGAGTTTTCCGGAAACAGCCTTTTTCCCTGGCCTTATCGCGGTGCGCGGCTTTGCTGCAGAGCTTTTCTCCAAACACTTTTGCTGCTGCAAACACTTTTGCTGCTGCGCTGCAGTTGCTTCCTTTTGCCTTTGCACCCCATTTAACTCTTTCTTTTCTCCGAATGTCTACGCGCAGCTTTGCTGGCGCTGCTGCTGCTGCTGCTGCTGTTGCTGCTATTGCTGCTGCTGCTGCTGCTGTTGCTGCTGTTGCTGCTGCTGCTGTTGCTGCTGCTGCTGTTCCTGCTGCTGCTGCTCTTGCTGCTGCTGCTGTTCCTGCTCTTGCTGCTGTTGCTGTTGCTGTTGCTGCTGCAGCTGCAGCTGCTGCTGCTGGTGTGTCTTGTGCTGCAGGGAGGGTGGATTACATTTTCGGGGTGGACAGTGTCTACCTGGATGCAGACGAAGTTTTGTCATTAGTTGAAAAGTTTCCTCCCGAAGGAGTTGTGGGGCCGGAGTTTGAAGAAATGGATATTCCCATTTTGAAGGAGGGGGGTTTGGTGGTGACTTTCGAGAAAATCCACTGTCTCGGTGAGTCCCAGCAGCAGCAGCAAAGCAGCACTTTTTGAAAATAAAAACAGAAAACAAATCAATTACTCAGTCCACGGACACGCATTCAAGCCTCTGCACGGACAGACACGGCTGCTGCTGCCGCTAGGAAGTGCTGCGCTGCAGCAGCAGCAGCAGGAGCAGGAGCAACAGCAGCAGCAGCAGCAGCAGCAGGAGCAACAGCAGCAGCAGCAGCAGCAGCAGCAGCAGTGGCTGCAGTTTTCCGAGGTGCAGCTGCTGCGTGCTTTCCGTGTGCCGCGTGTTACAGTGTTTGCTGAGCTGCATTTGCTGCCACTGCTGTTGCTGCTGCTGCTGCTGCTGCTGCTGCTGCTGCTGCTGCTGCAGGAATGGACATAATTGCGCAGCGTTACGGGCAAGAACTCTCAGACCACTGGCCCCTGTCCGCCCGCCTGTGCATTGGGGCCCCCCAAGTTCGAAAAGAAGATTTGCCGCTGCCGGAGAAGCAGCAGCTGCTGCGGGGCCCCTCGCTGTGTCTGGACCCTTTCAAGAGGGGCCCCCGGGGCCCCCAGCAGCCAGTGGCCAGTGTGGAAGCTGAGAAGCAATTAGCTGCTAATCAGCTGGCCGGATGGAAGCAAACAAGGGCCCCCTCTACTCTGAAGGTTTCTCCAGAAGTGAGCAGGCTGCAGCAGCAGCAGCAGGAGAGAAGACGCGCGGCGGCCGCTGCTGCTGCTGCTGCTGCTGCTGCAGCAGCCGAGGCAGCAGCAGCAGAAGCTGCACAGACTGCGGACTGGGAAGCGCAGCAAGAAGAACTGCAGCAGCAGCAAGCCCTGCAGCAGCCTGCTGCTGCGCAGCAAGAGAGCAGCTCAAGTTCAGAGTTTGAGGCTCCTAGCCCACAAGCAGCAGATGCAGCGGAGCCGCCGCTGCAGCGGGAACCCAGTGCTGCGCCTGCTGCTGCTGCTGCTGCTGCTGCTGCTGCGCCAGGTTTGTCTTTTTCTCCTTTTGCACTTTTTACCCTTTGCTACCCACCAAAAGGAGTTTCGTGTCAGGGGTGCGCACGGGAATACTTGAGGGCGAAACGAGCTGCTGCTGCAGCATTTTGCTGCTGCTGCTGCTGCTGCTGCTGCTGCCTTTGTTTACTGTTTTGCCGCAGGACGAGCCAAAGAAAAGGGAGTGCCTCTCGCAGCCCGAAGAGCTCTGGCTGTAATGAATGCCAGACGCAAACCCCACAGAATGTAAACTCAGCTCGGGTGTATGTACACCGCAGTGTGAGCGCTGGGCGCGGCAGCCGCGGGTGTCTGTACACCGCAGTGCCAGGTGTATGTACACTAGACTGTGAAGTGTATGTACACCAGACTGCCAGGTGTACGTACACTAGACTGTGAGGTGTATGTACACCAGACTGCCAGGTGTACGTACACTAGACTGCAAGGTTTTTGTGAACTGGACTGCCTGGCGCATGAACAGTAGGCTGCCAGGTGTACGTACACCAGACTGTCAGGTGTATTTGCACTAGACTTGCAGGTGTATGTACACTCGGCTGCCAGGTGTATGTACACTACTAGCGCGCCAGGTGTACGTACACTAGACTGCGAGGTGTACGTACACTAGACCGCCGGACGCAGGGGAGCCGTGCTATGGAGGGAATCTTTTATTCTTTGTGCTGTAATGAGTCTTTTATTCTTTGTGCTGTAATGACAGAAGGTTTTGAATATGCATTTTCCCAATTAGATTCTGATGTACATACACCTCAGCATAAGAGGTGCGCGTACAGCTCAGCGCAGGTGTACGTACAGTTTAAGTGCTGTGTGTGCGCACGCATCTCAGCAGCAGGTACAGCTGCTGCTGCTGCTACTGCTGTTGCTGCTGCTGCTGCTGCTGCTGCTGAAAACGCAGCTGCGTGTCGAACTCTCGGGCCCGCGCCCGTGCTGTCGCGCCTAACTAAAGCGTGGGGTGTACGCACACCTGGTGTACGTACACCGGGTGTACGTACACCTGGACGCAGCCCTCGGCGTCTGTACAGAACTAAAGAGGCCAAGTGAGGCCAGTTTTTTGCATTTAAAGAATCGGGACTGGTGAGAGCTCAGAGGTCTTCCAGCAAAGAAGCAGCAGTGCTGGAGGCGGTCTGTGCAGATACAGACGCAGCCACGCCGCGGCTTTGCTGCAGCGGCCCAGCAGCAGCAGCAGCAGCAGCAGCAGCAGCAGCAGGGCGTTCTAGCTGCGGCCCCTCTATGCCCTCGAGTAGCCCATTTAAAGGCCCCGGGACAAAAACAAAACTTGCCGGGGTTCGAACCCCCGAGGTTTCCAAAAGGGCCGCAGAATGGCCAAAGTGCTGCGCGGGGCTTTTTGGGGCTTCTTCTTTAACTTCGAGGTCTTGTGGGGAAATCACCTGCGGGCAAAAAGACTGCACTCAGCCACTTTTTTTGCTGCTGCAGCAGAACCAGCTGCTGCTGCTGCTTGCATGCTTGCATGCATGCACTCAGCAGCAGAACCAGCTGCTGCTGCTGCTTGCATGCATGCATGCATGCACTCAGCAGCAGAACCAGCTGCTGCTGCTGCTTGCATGCGTGCTGCAGGTGCAGCAGCGCGGGCTGCTGCTGCTTGCATGCATGCAAGCAGCAGCAGGGGCTGCTGCACCAGCTGGGCAAAGGACAAAACACGGAAAGTGCTGCTGCAGCGAAACTGCTGCAGCAAAACTGCTGCAGCAAAACTGCTGCAGCAAAACTGCTGCAGCAAAACTGCTGCAGCAATACTGCTGCAGCAAAACTCACCCCCACAAGAGAAGCTGAGGGGGATGACTGAGTCAAAGGCTGCGGGTCAATGGGGCCCCCCAGGGGGGCCCCCCGCTTCCCCCCGAAGCTGCTGCGGGCGCATGCAGCAAGTGTGCTGCTGCAGTTCTCTTTGCGGCTGCGCCGCAGCGCAGCAGGCAGCCAGCTGCTGCTGCGCCGCGCCCCTGCAACAGCAGCAGCAGCAGCAAGCCACTGCTGCACCTGAGGCACGCCGTGCCCAGACACTGCGCTCCAGCCAACCACTTGGCAGCTGCAGACACAGCAGCAGCAAACAGCAGCAACAACGCATGCAGCAGCAGTACCCACTCCCCCCCCAATCTAACCAAAGGGCCCCACGGACCTTGGGGGCCCCGGGGGCCCCAGAAGCCTCAGGGGCCCCAGGGGCCCCAGGGGCCTCAGGGGTCCCGGGGGCCCCAAGGGCCTGAGGGGCCCCCGGGGCCTCGCGAGCCTCAGGGGCCCCAGGGGCCCCAGGGGCCCCTGAGGCCCTAAGAGCCCCCAGGGGCCCCTGGGGCCTCCCAGAAAAGAAATGAGCAGCCCCATGGGGAGAGGGATGCATGCGAAAGAGAGGCGTGAGAGAAATAAACACAAGTCCGGCGCCGGGGAGAAAAAAGCACAAGACAAGAAAAAAAAGAATAAATGAAAAAAAAGATAAGTCGAACGGCCAAAGAAGAAGAAAAATTAAAAAAAAAGAGATTAAAGGATCTGCAGAGTTGAAAAGATTAAAAGTGAAATTGAGAAAAAGAAAAAAAGAAATTTGGAAAAGTGCTGACGTTCTTTTGACTTCGTCGGGAAGAGCCAAAAGCTCCTCCACTTCTGCAGGCCTTTTGGCCGATCTCAAGTCCTAAAAACAAATAAAATAAAATAAAAATAAATAAAAATAAATAAAAATAAATAAAAATAAAAAACTTGCAAGAAGGAAGTGGGAATTCGCGACGCCGCCCGGGAGGTGTACAGACACTCGAACTCAGAACGCGCGCCGGGGAACACACTGCCAGTCACGCGCATGCATGCACTTTGCATGCATTTTGCATGCATTTTGCATGCATTTGCATGCATTTTGCATGCATTTTGCATGCATTTTGCATGCATTTTGCATGCATTTCGCATGCATTTCGCATGCAATATGCATGCAACGTGCATGCAACATGCATGGAACATGTGCGCAGCATGCATGCAACATGCACATGCATGCAACATGCATGCAACTGGGGGGCCCCCCCTAGGGGCCCCCGGGGGGGCCCCCAGGGGGGCCCCTGGGGCCCCTGGAGGGGGCCCCCAAGGGGGCCCCCGGGGGCCCCCAAGGGGGCCCCCTGGCGAGGGTATTACCTGTTTGGTTGCGAGGACAAGAAAAGGAGTTTCTCTTCTTAAAACGAACTGCTCGTCATAAAAGATTTCGAAAAGTTCTCGACGAGCTTCTGAAAAAGCTGCAGCGCGGGAAGAGGCGTCTAGGGCGAAGCAGACGCAGTCTGCTTTCTGCGCAAGCAGCAGCAGCAGCAGCAGCAGCAGCAGCAGCAGCAGCAGCAGCAGCGGCAGCAAGTGAGGGGAGCCACACAGACGCGCCTCGCAGCAGCCAGCAGCAGCCAGCAGCGTCTCGTGCCGCTGCACAGCGGCGGCAGCAGCAAGCTCGCTGCAGCAGCAAGGCAGCAGCAGCAAGGCAGCAGCAGCAGCAAGGCAGCTGCAGCAGCAGCAAGGCAGCTGCAGCAGCAGCAAGGCAGCTGCAGCAGCTAACTGTTCTCACTCGCTGCAGTCCCTGCCATTCTTGCTGCTCTCCGTCTCCCCCGGCCACGTCATAGACCTGCACATGGACTGCTGCGCCTTGTCTTTTGCCGCTGCTGCTGCTGCTGCTGCTGCTGCTGCTGCTGCAGCCGCTGCTGCTGCTGCTGCTGACGCTGCCGTCGCTGCTGCCCGTAGTTGCCGGTGTCTCCAAGTCAAACGAAGAGACACTCAACAAAGTGTCTCCGTCGCACCCGCTGCTTCCTTCCTCTGCTGCTGCAGCAGCAGCAGCAGCAGCAGCAGCTGGCCCCCCGCAGTGCAGCACGAAAGACTCTCTGAGCCAGGCAGGGACAGCAGCAGCAGCAGCAGCACAGATAGCTCTTTCCCCTCAACAACAGCAGATGGCTCAGCTGCAGCGCAGCAGCAGCTGCTGCTGCTGCTCCTGCAGCGGCAGCAGCAGCAAGTGCTACAGCAGCACGAAAGCAGCAGTCGCTGCTGTCTCGTCTCGCCAGGACTGCCGCAGCGTTTACAGCAGCAGGAGCAGCAGCAGGAGAAGCAGCCGGAGCAGCAGCAGGAGCCGCAGGAGCAGCAGCAGCAGCAGCAGCAGCAGCAGCAGCAGCAGCAGCAGCAGCAGCAGCAGCAGCAGCAGGAGCCGCAGCAGCAGCAGCAGCAGCAGCAGGAGCAGGAGCAGGAGCAGGAGCAGGAGCAGGTGCAGCAGCAGCAGCAGCAGCAGCAGCAGCACTGACGTGTTGTTGCCGACGGAGGGCCTAGTTGGTATAAAGGCCCCCAGCTTGAGTCTGTACACCAGAGCAGTTTTGCCTGAAAAGCGGCGCCCCACAAGCAGCACGCGCAAGTGCTGCTGCTGCTGCTGCTGCTGCTGCTGCTGCTGCTGCTGCTGCTGGCGGCAGCGGGCGAGGAGGCGGCCCCAGGCGCGGCTGGGGCGCGCCAGCAGGTCCCGCGGCCGCATCTGCAGCAGCTGCAGCAGCAGCTGCTGCAGCAGCTGCAGCAGCAGCTCACAGCAGCTTCTGCTGCTGCTCAGCAACTGCTGCGGCCACCGACAGCAGCAGCGCCGAGCGATTCGGCCGAACATGCGATCGCTGCCGCCGCTGCTGCAACGGCTGCTGCTGCTGCTGCTGCTGCTGCTGCTGCTGCTGCACCTCCTTTTGCTGAAACAGAAGCAGCTGCTGCAGTTCTTTGCTGCTGCTGCTTGCCTCGGCTTCAACGACTTGCCTGCTGCTGAGCTGCATGTACACCCGAATTCACGCGGCTGGAGAGCTGCTGCTGCCACGAGGCATCAGTCGAGCTGCTGCATCAGCAGCGGCAGCTGCTGCTGCTGCTGTTGCTGCTGCTGCTGCTGCTGCTATTGCTGCTGCTGCTGCTGCTAAGAGAATGATGGCACCTCGGAGAGGCTTGGGCCTAGAGGCGCCTTCTTATGGCGCCTCTGCTGCTGCTGCCATAGCGGAAGCTCCAAGAGCAGCGGGAGCAGCTAGTGCAGCAGCAGCAAAGACAACAGCAGCAGCAGCAAGGAGAGCAGCAGCAGCAGCAGCTGCAGCTTCCCAGCCACTCAAACTGCAGCAGCAACTGCCCACTCTCGGCTATCCAGATGCAGATGCGCGCCGCTGCTTCTATAAACAAGTGACACGCCAACGCGCAATGAATTCAAGCAGCAGCAGCAGCAGCAGCAGCAGCAGCAGCAAGAAGAGCAGCAGCAGAGGCCAGGGCCACCGAAGGCTGCCGGGTGTATAGACAGCTCGCAGTGTCTAAGTTTCCGCCAGTTGTAAAGCCACTTTTATCTTCGAAGAATCTTTTTAAAGACAACTACTTTTGAGATTTTGGCTGCACTGGTGCATGCGCTCGCCGCGGCGCTCCTAAGACAGCCCCGTCGGCAGCTGCGAAGGAATTTACTGCATTTATTTGAATTATTTGCAAAAATTAATTAAAATGATTCCAAAAATGTCGAAATTTGCGCGAGGGAAGCGGTAGAAGGGGTGGGTGCACACCCCTGGGGTGTACAGACACCTGGAGCTCGCGCGCCGCTTGTTTCGCCAGACTGCACTTTTCCAAACTCTTCCACAATTCATTTATTTGCAAATTCAATTCTTTTTATTTTTCTTCATTTAATTCACAAAAAAAGCCAACTCTTTGCCGCGGAAAGCCGCCGCTCCTTCCCTACCAAAGGAGTGTTCCCGCTCGCACAGCGCACAAGAACACCGGGGGGTTTGGGTTTTAGGGTTTAGGGTTTAGGGTTTAGGGTTTAGGGTTTGTTCAATGGCGATCATTTGCAAATCAAATTCAAAACTTGAATGTTCTGTTCAAAGTTGAAGTCCTAAAGCCTCATAGCCGCAACTTCTTAGATTTCCAGCCTCTGTAGAAGTGATCTTCTTTTCCCTTAACCTCCACTTCCCAAACCCTAAACCCTAAACCCTAAACCCTAAACCCTAACCCCTAGGCTGCTAGTTCTGCGGGCCTTTTGCAGCCAACTTGGCCTTGAAAAGGCCACAAAAAGCCTTAATAAACGAACTAGGGTTTAGAATTAGGGTTTAGCGATTTGGGGGCCCCTAAACCCTTTCTTGACAACTCCGACTCTCGGGCTAAACCCTCGGTGGGGGCCCCAAAGGCCGTTTGCTTTTACTAATAAGCTGCTGCAGCAGCTGCTGCTGCTGCAGCTGCAGCAGCAGCAGCAGCAGCGGCTGCTGCTATAGAGGCAGGCCGCTGCTGCTGCAACAAAATGCCAAATTCCATTTTTTGGACTTTTTGATTTAAAATAAAATAAATAAAAAAGAAAGTCTCTGCTGTTGAGTTCTTGAAGAGCAGCAAAAATGTGAGTGAAGGAATGGGAGAGTCTGATGAGTTTTTTCTTTTTAATTTAAAAGATTTATTTATTTTTAATTTTGGAGAATTGTTTTGCTAATTGGAAACGTGTTCTTTGCCGTGCTGCTGCAGCTGCTGCTGCTGCCGTTGCCGCTGCTGCTGCTGCTGCTGCACTTCTGCAGCTGCAGCAAGTCAACAAAGAAGGAAAACTACAGCAGCAGATGGATAAGAAAGGAAAAAGAGAAGCAGCGATTAGGGCCAGCCAAAACTCAATAAAAAAGTGACACAAATAAATAAATAAATAAATAAATAAATAAATAAATAAATAAATAAATAAATAAATAAATAAATAAA